GGAGGCTGCTGAAAAGAATTATATATACATACACGTAGAAGCCAAACACGCGGACGGAGGAGAAGCCAGGAAAGAGAAACAGAAAAACAGAAGGAATATATAAAGAAAAGGCAAAGTCAAAGTTGGAGGCAATTGTTTTGGTTTTTTGGAATTTATATCCACACAGACAGAGGCAACCAATTATTCTTGGAATTTATATACACGAAAACAGAGGCCAAGAATTAATACCAGACCTGTTCACGTTTGGTCAATTTTCGGTGATGTCGTTCCTCTTTTGCGTGTTTAATTACAATATTATGTTAGGCTAGATTTTTACATTGCTAAAGATATAGATGAACCCTTGTTTTGAAACTTTTAGTATTAATTAATTATTTTGACGTTAATTTGTTTGAATGCGTGAATGTTTATTATGGTTTGATTTGTTTTTCAATTAATTGGCCAATAGTTGAATTGTTTGTGAATTTTATTGTTATCGAGAGAGACAATAGGATCTTAGCACGTAGTAATAAACATTGTGAGGTTCGATAGAGGATAGAGATATACCTCTATGCTTTGCATGGTTAATAAAGATGTTTTAGTTTGTTAATGCATTTATCATGTTTGTATTTGTCATCGAAATATAGAAATGTCATATTAGGGGAATGAATTTGATCGCTATCGAGAGAAGCCTTCAATTAAATTAGAAACATTGACTAACATAAATGATTTTAAGNAGGGTTCATTGATGGAACCAAAAGCTGTCCAGCAGAATTTCTTGCAACCCAAACGGTTGGATCTGCTGGAGCCACAGTGGAAATGACACCAAATGCTGAATATGGCAAATGGATGTCAACTGATCAGTTGTTGATGGGTTGGCTGTACTCATCGATGACATCGGAGATCGCCATGAGAGTAATGGGATCGTCAACTGCTTGCAATCTCTGGAAAGCTGTTCAAGAGAGTTTTGGGGTCATGAATAAATCCAGGATTATTTTCCTAACCAGTAAACTTCAAAGGGCTAGAAAAGGATCAATGACTATTGATCAATATCTCAACATGATTAAACATCTGGCGGACAATCTTGAAATCGCTGGAAAGACAATTACTCATGAAGATCTTATCACTCAAGTGCTAGCTGGCCTAGATGAAGAGTACACTCCCATTGTTGTTCAAATCAACAGTAGAGAGTCAATCTCATGACATGAGCTGCAGTCAGTTCTTATGACCTATGAAAGTTGTATTGAACATCTAAATGCTGTGAAAAATAGCCTAGCCTCAGTAAATCTAAGCCAAGCTTCAGTAAACTTCAGTCACAGAGCAAACTCAAACAGAGGAGAAAGATCTGATTATGGTGGAAGAAGCCTTCACTACAGGGGAGGAAGAATCAGAGGTAGAGGAGGTAGACAGATTATGAACAAAGGGCCTTGTCAGATTTGTGGAATAAATAATCACTCAGCAGCCAAATGCTTCAACCGGTATGATGAAAGGTACATGGGTGCTAAGCCTGATAATAACTATCAAAACTACCCCTTAGAGCCAGCTACTTTCATTGCCTCAGCAAAAACCATTTCAAATCCAGCATGGGTGCTAGCAACCATGTCACTGCAGAGAGAGAGAGAATCTAGCTGAAGCACGTGAATACGGTGGTAAGGAAAAACTTACTGTTGGTAATGGAAATGAACTTCAGATTTCTCACATTGGCACTATTCACTTAAATACACAGAATAATAAATCCTTATTGCTCAGTAATGTGCTATTAGTGCCTGCAATTAAGAAAAACTTGTTGAGTGTTTCACAACTGACCTCTGATAATGGTGTCTTTATGGAATTCCACCCTAACACTTGTGCTGTGAAGGATCAACAGACCAAGGAAGTGCTGCTGGAAGGGAAACTTAAAGACGGCCTGTATCAGATTGAGCTCCCAGATCGAGTTAAGAGATTATCCTGTCAAAATCCAGTTCATCCAAATAAATCAAGGTCATCAGTCTGTGTTGTTGAGTCGAAAAGAGTCACTAAGCATGAGTCAAAATCAAAATTGTGGCACATGTGGCTTGGTCATCCTACAGTCCTGTGATGTCACAAGTTCTCAAAATTTGTAATGAAAAATTCAGTGAAAATGAAATTACTCAATTTTGTGATGCCTGTCAACTAGGCAAATCTCATTCTCTGCCGTTCAAACTATCAAACTCACATGCATCAGCACCTCTAAATCTTGTCCATACAGATCTCTGGGGTCCTGCACCCATTCAATCAACCTCTGGATTTCGATATTATATTCTCTTCATAGACGACTATAGTAGGCATACATGGATATATCCCCTAAGAAGCAAATCTGAAGCCTTAAACTCCTTCACTCAGTTTAAAAATCTAGTAGAAAACAAGTTTGACCGAAAAATTAAGACTCTCCAATCAGATTGGGGAGGAGAATTCAGAGCGTTTACCAATCTAGCTCAACAATCTGGCATTGAAATAAGACTCTCCTGTCCCCATACCTCAACTCAAAATGGAAGAGCTGAAAGAAAACATAGACATATCACCGAAACCGGCCTAACTCTCCTTGCTCAAGCAAATATGCCATTGCATTATTGGTGGGAAGCTTTTTATACAGCTGTCTACCTTATTAACAAACTACCAACTCCCACTCTAAAAATGAAATCGCCCAGTCAAGTCCTATCAAATGAGCAAATTGATTACAAGTCTCTTAAAGTCTTTGACTGTGCGTGTTTTCCATGTTTGAGGCCTTATCAATCTCATAAATTCAGTTTCCACTCAACAAAGTGTGTCTTTCTTGGTTTTAGCAACTCTCACAAAGGGTATACGTGTCTCAGTCCCACATGAAAAATCTACCTATCAAGGTATGTTGTGTTCAATGAAAGTGAATTCTCCTTCCAGTCAGGTTTTCTTAACAAAGTAAACAGCTCTCCAAAATCTGAAATCATTGCTCAGTATCTCCCCTATCAAACTTCCCTTAATCCTGATTTGATGTGCTCAAGTGCTACAAGCCATTCTGAAGCAACTCTTCCTGCAGCAGTTCACAATTCAGGTTCATCCTTGCTGCCTGAAAATCAGACATCAGAAGTTAATGAAAGTTCAGATACCAGCAATGAACACAGTCATAGTGAAAACTCAAAGGATATGACATCTATAAATATTGAGGTTGAGCAACTTGATGAGCAAAATGAGGAAAATCAAACTGAACCTACAGATCTGAACAGGCAGGCTGTTGAACATCATATGACTACAAGGAGTAAAGCAGGCATTTTTAAACCAAAAGTTTACTCCACACAGTGTCAACAGTACAGAATGAACCCATTCAGAACTGAACCAAATGATGTACTTGAAGCCATGTCAAATAATAATTGGAGAAAAGCTATGGAAGAAGAATACAAGGCTTTAACCAGGAACAACACCTGGGAACTTGTACCACCTGTGACAAATCAAAAAGTGATAGGCAACAAGTGGGTTTTCAGGATTAAACGTGACATTGATGGAAGAGTACTGAAGCATAAAGCCAGGCTTGTTGCCAAAGGCTTCTTGCAAACCTCAGGAGTGGACTACCATGAGACTTTCAGCCCTGTGATAAAGGCATCTACCTTACGAATAATTCTCACTATTGCTGTCTCAAGAGGGTGGAGTGTGAGACAAGTGGATATCAACAATGCATTCTTGAATGGAAAGCTAAATGAAGTTGTATTTATGAACCAGCCGGAAGGTTTCATTGACAAGAAAAATCCTACTTTTGTTTGCAGGCTTGAAAAAGCACTTTATGGACTCAAGCAAGCCCCTAGAGCGTGGTATGAGAGGTTAAAAAGGACACTTTTGGACTGGAAGTTCACTAACTCTAAGGCAGATAGTTCTCTGTTTTTCTTCATGAATCATCAGCAGGTCATATTTTGCTTGGTATACGTCGATGATATTGTAGTCACTGGAAATGATCACAACCTACTGCAAAGTTTCATTGACAGACTAAATGTCAAGTTTGCACTAAAGGACATGGGTGAATTACATCAATTTCTGGGAGTTGAGGTAAAACGGAATGAAACGGGAATGCATCTCACTCAAACTAAATATGTAAGGGACTTGCTACAGAGGTTTCATCTTGAGCGCTTGAAACCGTGTTCTACACCTATGTCAGTAGGCAAGTATATTTCCAAAGATGATGGTGAGAAAATGCTGGACTTCTCTCTGTACCGAAGTGCCATAGGAGGATTGCAGTATCTCAGTCATACACGACCTGATATCTCATTTGCAGTGAATAAATTAAGTCAATTTTTGCAATCTCCTTCAGACATACATTGGAAGGCAGTTAAGAGGATTTTCAGGTATCTGAAAGGCACTATTAATCAAGGAATTTGGATACAAAGGGCTGATAAAATTGATGTCACAGGTTTTGCGGAGGCTGACTGGGCATCTTGCCCTGATGATAGGAGGTCGACGGCTGGATATTGTGTCTATTTAGGAGACACCTTGGTGTCTTGGTCCTCGAAGAAACAACAGGTAGTGGCAAGGTCCAGCACGGAATCAGAATATAGAGCATTGGCACAAGTCTCAGCTGAAATCACCTGGATTGAGTCACTACTTAAAGAAATTAACTTGGAACCAGCCTCATCTCCTATCTTGTGGTGCGATAATCTCAGTGCCAGTGCCTTAGCCTCAAACCCTGTCTATCATGCTAGAACAAAACATATCGAACTAGATATACATTTTGTTAGAGACAAAGTTCTTGAAGGGAAGCTTAAGATTCAATACGTTCCATCTTCAGATCAGATCGCAGACCTCATGACTAAACCTCTATCTCAAACCAGGTTTCTATTTCTCAAAGACAAGCTTGGAGTAAAAGAATGAACTCCAGCTTGAGGGAGGATGTGAAGATTATTTCCAACTACAATTAAATTGAGCAAGCATGTGTGCTGTTGCTGATATCATGTGCTGCTATTGTGCACTGCTGGGACCACACCTATTGTTGCAATAGATTTATTCCTCACGTGATTGTCATTGTGCACTGCTGGGACCACACCTATTGTTGCGATAGGTTTATTCCTCACGTGATTGTCATCCTTTTGTGACTTGCTTTCCACTCCATTTTCTGTATATATACATTACCTCTTTTGTATTCTTTCACTATTGAATATACAAATATTACACCAGCTTCTATCTGAGTTTTTTATTCTTCAAATTCTGTTATTTTAACTCTCTCTAATCATTTTTGATATGGCAGCCTATTTAATTGGTTTGAATGTCTGGAGGTGTGTTTTATGTTGTTACGAAGGTTGGTACGGGTTTTGTTCGTTAATTATATGATATATTGATTGAAATATAATTTATTTGGAATCTGGGAAGGTAATTTGTGATCTGCTCTGTTCTACTAATCCTTAAGAGTTTTTTCTGCTTGCTCCTTGTTACTCTGCTTTGAAAGTCTCCCTGCTAGGCCCTTGACTATTTGGCCAACTTTAAGCATGAATTCTCACTTGCCTACAAGCCTTCCTTTTCGATTTTTTTCTGTAGTACTTTCTTTTTGTGGATTTATTGTACTAAGTTCAGTTTTGATTATTTCTCTTCCTTGTCCTTCCTCCTCATACTAGTTTGAAAAAATTTTCAGCTGAAAACTGATGGAGCGTTTGATTATGGGGAAGGCTTGTCAAATGATAACTTTTATGCATGTTGTTGCCTGATATTAGCATGCTTTCTTGGTTAGAATGGGTCACACTCCCGGGTTCTTTTCATTCGGAATATAGTTGGAGCTGAAGCTGATGAAGATAGGATTGAGTTGCTTCTGATGCAAATTAAGGGAAAAGATATCACAGAGGTCATTGCATCTGGTAGAGAGAATTTGGCATCTGTACCTGCTGGTGGTGGTGCTGTTGCTGTGGCTGCATCTGCAGCTGGTGGTAGTGGTGCTGCTGCTGCCCCGGCTGCAGCTGAGTCCAAGAAAGAAGAAAAAGTGGAGGAGAAAGAGGAATCAGATGATGTAAGCTTTTCTGTGAATGTTTATAGTACACCAGTTAGGGTCCGTTTGATAGGTAAAAGTGGGAAGGAATTACAATTTCATGTTAGTTGGAAAATAAAATCCATCAAACCCATAAGAATTCGTTTTCCATGAAAACAAAGAAAATACAGCTTAAATTTGTTGTACTTTGGAATTCGATTTTCATTTCCACGTTGCAATCAAACAGCCAAAGTGAAATTCATTTTCCTCGGATGTGACATTTTTCATGGAATTCGTTGCAATCAAACAGTGCCTTATTAGAACTTGTAGTTCATTGTGCCTTGTCATTAAAGTAGTTTGTTATACTCTCCCTTGTTAGATATTTTTCATCATTTTGCATGTATTATCTTTTATTTTGCGAATGTTTTGCCGCTCCGACTAGTGTTTGCCGCTACGCAACGGGGTCCGACTAGTGTTTGCCGCTACGCAACGGGGATCGACCTGAAAGAGAATTTTATTTTCAGAAGTTTTTGAATAGATATGTTTCTTCCAACAGATGCGTCCATTCATTTCAAGGGACACACCTATTCAAAAGGTTGCCTCCATTTCTATATATTCTGGGCGAATTCTCATTTGCGGTACACTTTTAAAAAAATTTCTATTCTTCTATCTTTCTCTTGGCATCATCAGTTTCTCTATAGAGTGTTTCTCGGTTTGATCAAATAGTCACATTTTGAATCAAGCGCTTCCATTGTATCCTGAGAGAGATTTTCTATCATACCCCGGTCGTGACTTTGTTGGAAAGGGGAAAAACATCTCTTAAAAGATAACGATTTTCGTGCCTTGGAGTTATTAATTGTTCCAGATTTCCTATATATTTCCCAACATCCCTTACTTCTTTAACTTTGTTAAGAGCTTCATAAATTTGGGTCCAATAGTTTATGATTGTGAATGAAGTTTAGATTTGGTTGGTGCAATTATAACATACTGATATTAGGGAGTTCGAGAAAAGGTCTGTTATTTTACTTTGTTTTGTTTTTAATACGACGGCAGAGCCCAAACTGTCACTTGATGCACACGATGAGAACTTATCCATGATACAACCCCCTCCCAACTGCTAAATTTCCCTCTAGATGTAATCTTAAAGGATGTTTTTCCCTCATATATGCATTTATTTGCGGTGTTTATCTTCTTCTTATTTCTGTATACTTTGACACTAATTGAAACTTCTGTTTCTGAACTTGCTGAAGGAAACTCAGGTGTTTTAGGTGCTCTAGTTTTCATACATTAGTATTTTTTTTTTCCTTTACTTGGTGCTTATTTATCAGATGCTGTCATGTGAAGCCAAAAGCATTGCAGTTAGTGACACGGTACTTGGATTGCTTTTTATCAATAGATATGGATTTTGTCATTCTGAATCTTTTCACTTATGTTATTTTCTAATTGTTCCGAAGTCTTAAAATTTACTTGACGGTGACAAGCTTTTCGAATTTTGCAAGATGACACGAGCACGTCACATCACATCAATTTATTTTTCGGCAATTTTATTAATCTTTGGTGCTTAATCTTTAGTCTTATCTTATAGCCTGAGTATAAGATATTGAGGCGGTTGATGATCAATTCCTTGTTGCATGCATATTGGCGAAGTCTTTAAAATACAGTGAAAATGATTATTATTATATGCCAATTATTACTTGTGGAAACTATTGTTATTTCTGTCGGTGCCTTTTTTTTTTTTTTTTTATAATCTTTTACACCCCTCACATGGAGGGGGGTCCACAAAAAAATCCATCAAATGTAGAATTGACGTCTATATATTTAGGGAAGTGCTATGTGTACACAATAGTTTACACAATCTTTTACATCCCCTCACATGGAGAGGAGCCCACAAATTGTATGTGGACCCCCCTCCACGTGAGAGAGTGTAAAAGATTGTGTAAACTATTGTGTACATATAACACTTCCCTAAATATATGAACGTCAATTTTACATTTGATGGATTTTTCTATCTTGACAGAGGAATTTTCATCCTTCTTGATAGATGTGTACAAGACAGTTAATGATTAGATGAAAAAAATGACAGTTACATTATTTCAATTTGTTTGCCAACCTGTGTGGCTATGTAGCATGACTTGACATTTGATAGTGAGGAAAAGTGGTAGGGTGCAACTGTAATTTCAATCACAAACTATGTTTGAAGAAGTGATGGGTGTGTTGCAATCACAGCGTACATCAGATATTCGATCATTGATTTCTCGTGTAATTGGAGGTCCAACGCAAAGCGCACAAAATCAAATCTCTGCTAGGAAGTCAAATTTATATTATTATTTACATATATAATTGTCGGCTAAATTTGTTGATTTGATTGTCTTCTGTAGCAATTGACCTGTCATTTCTTTTCCTTACATTCTACCACGCTAAAGACACTGTAAAGTAACAAGCCAATTGGAATTGTACAGCCTTTTTCTCTTGACAAAATCCTTTCTATTTGTTCAACCGATATTGACAATCTCTCACATATGTGTGGGGTCTGCATGTTTCAAAAAAAAAAAAAAAAAAGGTGAATCCCCCATGTGAGTGATTGCTAACCTCGATTGTATAACTAGCATGACTATATAATTTTCCAGAATCTTTTATTGTGGAGTTTTTCTCTTTAATGCCAAGCTTTCAATAAAAGAAGTAAGAGGTTCAAGAAGAAAATCAAAGAGATCAAGTTGAATTGGTCCCGAATTCAAGAAAAAAAATGGTGATATGGCTCTTACGACGTTCAAATTCCAATATTGGTAATCTACTTTCTATTAGAATGAGTTTGATATACTCCACTTGCGTATTTGTTTTATTGATTTATGTGAAACGTCACGTTTATGGTTGAAGTGCACGAACCTCACACTCATAACAATGAAGTTTGGAATTGAATTAATGAGCAAATTACTGTCAAGTAGATACCAATATCATTAATAAATGCTTTCTTCTTGGACCACTTTAACAAAATTTCTTCCAACAAATATTTTAACTATTCTGAGATGTTTATTTCAACATGATAATTTGCAGAAATAAATAAATAATTTGTGCATGTGAAAACAGAAGCCAGCAGCACAACCTATAACACCGACGGACATCAAATTATTTGCTGCCACATCGACTTATGTCACTGTATTTATTAAATTTCTTCTGAAAAAGTGACAAAATCCATATTTCAATCATGAATTAATCTAATTTGCCAATTTTTTTAATATCTTGGATGACAGAATGAGGTGTGGCAACAAGTGATTTAATGGTAGTGTTGATTATTTTTTAAATTGACCAATTATAGAATATCATACGGCATTCTATAATGGAAGGTGACAATTATCTGACAATGTAGCAATGTTCTTCAATGATGGTAGTCTCTAACAACATTTTTAGGCTCTTCGTATTTCTATGCGTTTTAGGTGCACATAATTACGTGATTTAGCTTTGTAGATATTTAAGGGCCGAATGACATGATATTTGAAAAATCAAAAGTATTTTTTTAAAAAAATAAAAATTAAGAAGTCGATTTTAAATACATTGAAATAATTTTTAGAAAATGTTTTGTTTAACTAGAAGACCCACTATAGGAAGCTAGCATAATGTAGAATATTCACAAAGCTCCTTTTAAAGGCTTTTCATTTGTTTATTATAGAGAAACTTTTGAGATCATTTCAAAGATTTTAGTTCTGGTATGATTTGGGGAAACAATTTGTATATGCTAAAGAGAATCGAAAGACAAAAAGCCTATCACTCACTTTCTTGAAAAAGGAAAGGAAATGAAGTGCCAGTTTATCTTTACGAAGTGATTAATTTAGTGATCATTACATGTAATTATAAAATTATTTGAAAATAAACGAACAATAGAAAAGCATCAATCATAAGACTTTTCAAGACGTTTTATATTTTCAATACGTCGCTTATGTATTATCTTACAATTTTTTTGTACAATTAACTATCTTAGGGTGTGTTTTGTCTTCCATTATTAGGAGAAAAATAGAGTAATGAATAGTATTTTTTGGAGAATGTGTGATTGAAATTTAGGGCCGTTTGATTCTCATTATTGTAGAATGAGAATGAAAAATATAGCTGTTATTGGGCTACACACAAGAAATAGAAATTCAAAATTGATGGCTTAATGTGATGGATAACGATCATATTTTTCAAATTAATGAGATAAAAAAGTGGTCCAAACGGGGGCATAATCACATTAATATGCGAAGAAATAAAGAAAACTTCTCATTATTGTAGAATGAGAATGAAAAATATAACTGTTATTGAGCCCCACACAAGATATAGAAATTCAAAATTGATGGCTTGATGTGATGGATAACGGTCATATTTTTCATTTTTATGGATGAAAATGAGAAACAAACGGAGATTTAAAGTAACTTTATTGGTTTGTGTGTAAAATATTTTATTGGGTGAATGTGTGGTAGAAAATCTTATTGCAGCAAACAATTTTTTGAAATAATGGTAATCAAACATGGGCTAATAATATATGTATTCAATGCTTAGTTGTCCTTTATTGTCCTTCACTTCTTAAATTCTATAAATAAAAATTGACAAGAAATATTATAGTAGGTTGGAGTAGATATTTGAATTAATATTGAAAATTGACATGTATCTACCACGTAAATTTATATGTTGTTTGTGGGGGCGTTATTTCAGTATATTCATATCAAATCATTCATTGCATATGTAATGTGTTTTGTTTGCATCATCAACAATTAACAAAAGAAGTGAAAAAAAAAAAGA